ATTAAAACATTTTTCCGGAAATAACATAGATTGAATTTTTCAAAAATGCCCTTTGCGCAAAAAATGCAATTTTAATGAAAATTTTTCACGCAAAAAGGGCACTTTGTGCACCCGTATTCTGCACCCGTACTGCACCCACAAAGTTGAAAATGCAAAAGCAAGGGGTGCAATTGCACCCGCTGCACCCGTGGTTCCGGCATCCCTGGATAGATTTATTAAACTTGAAAGATTCACAGCCTGGGCTTTGCACGTCGGCTGAATAATGTTAAGGTGTACAAGTCAAGGGACAAATCACTCCTAAAAAGTGTACGAGATAACGAGATCAAAAAATCATGTGAATTTTTGTGATTTTTTTTATTTTTCACGGATTTTTTCTATTCTTTCAAAGCCTTTTTCCCCCATTCTCTTTTAAAATCACTCCTAAAAAGTGTACGAGATAAAAGAATCATGTGATTTTTTATTTTGATTTTGATTTTTCTGAGGGCGTACAGTACGTGCATGATTTAAATCGGTGATTTGCCCATCCGTACGTACCAGTAGTTAAAAATTAGATCGACTATATAACCGTATTAAAAATTAGTTCGATTCAATGGACCATTCCCCAATTAACCAAAATTTTGATCTCAACAAGTCTGGACAAAATTTCATCACAGCTTAAAAGAGCATCACAAAATTAGTAATATTCCAAAGTTTCGTTGCGAAATGTTGTAAAATGCGGATAATATAACCTTGCGAAATTTGCAATTTTCAGTCATTTTAGATTACAAACTGGAAATGGTTACCACTTTTCCAAAATTTTCATGATCTGAACTAGCCTGAACAAAAATTTCATCACAGCTGGAAAGAGCATCACAAAATTAGTAATATTCCAAAGTTTCGTTGCAAAATGTTGTAAAATGCAGATAATATAGCCTTGCGAAGTTTGTAATTTTCAGTCATTTTGTATTACGCACAGATGTGGTAACCGTTTGTAATCTAAAATGACCGCTGAAAATTGCAAACTTCGCAAGGCTATATTATCCGCATTTTACAACATTTTGCAACGAAACTTTGGAATATTACTAATTTTGTGATGCTCTTTCAAGCTGTGATGAAATTTTTGTCTAGACTTGTTGAGTTCAAAATGTTGGTTAATTGGGGGAATGGTCCATTACGCATTCACATGAATTACAATTAATAAAATCATTCTTTAATCTATTCTTAAAGAAAATTTTCCCGACATAAACCAGTTAAATTAAGGTTCAAAACAATTTTTCCGTACAAATTCCTGTTAAAACATGGGTGGTAAACCCTTTTTTTGGACCAATATCTATAAAATTTAGGTCTATGAATTCTATAAATTCCCTCTGAAAACCCTGTAAGTTACTTAATAACTCTACATTCCATCATTTACAATCTTTGATTGCCCTGCCAATCCAGGCGATTGCCCTGCCAATCCAGATGATTCGTTTTTGTTTTTTGGGGGTGTCACACACCCCCCCCCCCTCAATACCCCCCTCAAGTTTCGCCCCTGAGGAGTGGAAACATTACATTCTTCTTCCTCGCGAAGAATTTGAAACACTCTTCTTCATGAAGAGTTCATGCACTGACATATATATATACAGACATATATAAACTACTAAATTTAATTTCATATTAACTCATCCTATACTTATACGTTATTTAGGCTATATAAAACACTGAAGATTATTATTAAATCAGTAGCTCTACAAACTTAATTCACATAGGGGAGGAGAATAGCAAGAAATACAAGCTAACAAGATATAACGCATCTCATATAAGGGGGAGATAAGGCCGGAGTATTAACAATAATACTGGTGGCCGAAGTATTATTATACTGGTGGCCGGAGTATTATTATACTGGTGGCATAAAATTATTAAATCCTACAGATATATTGTATTTCCAAGACAATAATTCCATTTCTGGGGGAGGATCTACTTTACTGAATCATTTTAAATAGGTAACAATTTCTATAACCATGTACAAATACAAAGAAAACACAAAACTTAAACTGTCACTATGTCTATGTTAGCTTATGTTATTTTTATGATACTTTTCCCTTATATATTTAATTAAACTTTGTCCACACCTGTTGTTAATTTTTTCTGCAGCTAGTATAGAGGGCCCCCTATACTTTTTGCGTGAAGCGTGAAGGGCTTATTTTACTTAGCCGTGAAACGTGATCGGGCCCCCTATACTTTTTGCGTGAAGCGTGAAGGGCTTATTTTACTTAGCCGTGAAACGTGATCGATGATTTTCTTAATTAATCCGTGACTCGTGAAAAGGCAAAATATTTTTACGTGAAAGTATATTGTGAAGAGGTATAGGGGGCCCTCAGTATAGACAGTGCATCAGTTATGTGGTTAATTTATATGCCTTACTGAATAAACATGCGGAAATCAGAAATATCGTGGTTCTTAATTAAACAATGCAATAATCTTTCTAAGCAGCCGGACATTTACGTCTTTTACTCGGGCTCGATATCACAAATTTCACAAACAAATTTTTAATATTTTTCAAGGTGTAACAAAAAAAGTATATATGCGAGAAAAGGCTCATCTCGGGAGATAAAAAACAAAATATATTATTAAAATATGCAGACATATATAAACTACTAAACTTAATTTCATATTACCTTATCATACGTACAGGTTATAAGACACTAAAGATGATTATTAAATCAATAGCTCTACAAATTGAGTTCACATAGCCATAAGGGAGGAGAGTATAGCAAGAAATACATATATAAGCTATAACATGGACATCGCATCTCATATATGAGGGAGATAAGGACTGCAAAAAGGCCCCATTAATTTGTCTTGGTGGCCGGAGTATTATTATACTGGTAACTGGTGGCATGCATAAAATGATTTCTTGCAGATATCTTGCAATGTCATTATTATCTATATTAAAGTTTAGTGAAGACAATAATTCCATTCCTGCAGTGTGAAGATTTACTTAATTTATTGAATCATCAGTTTTAGCAGGTAATAATTTCTATAGCCTGCATGTACATATATCGAAAAGAACTAAATACAAAACCTTATTTTGTTTGCTTACTCTGGTTTCAACTTGATTCTATGGAAATAATAAACTTTTTGAACAAGGGGCAAATCACTCCCAAAAAGTGCACAAGATCAAAAAATCATGTGGTTTTTTTGTGATTTATCGCACTGGCATCGTTAAATCTACACTATACTAGTGGTAAAGTTTAGTAAACAATAAGGTGAACTATAGACAATAATTTTTTTATTACTGTCAGAGATCGAATCAATCGGATCTTAACCCAATCATTTTTAACAGCAAATAATCTCCAAAATCGACAAATCGTATACTACATAGCTAAAGTATATGGCTGACGTTCTCTATAGAAAATGCATCATGCAGTACAGACAATTTTGCAAGACCGACAAAATATGGCACAAAAGACCAACAAATATCTACTCAGTTGATTACTGCGAGAGCGTGATGTGCCGGCTAAGCTGATCTAACCTTTGCATGGTCAGCTTCTTTCAGCATTTTGTCGCCTCTTAGGGACCGGTCATAAAGTAATTACTAGAGGGGGGTGGAGGATAAATAAAATTTCAAGTACATATTTCCATACCCTCTCAAAAACCTATGGAAAAATTTTCATAACCTCCTTCAATTTAAGTGAAAATGTTCATACCCCCCCCCCTTCAATCATTAACAGGTTCTTATGGTGTGAGCTTGCTAGCATTGTCATTGACAATTCAGATGTATCAGATTTGTGCTCCAAAAGTTTCACGGATAATGAACTACCTACTGACCCTAGGCCTTATGCATAATGACGTCACAAGGCTTGATGCCCGCAAAGAATGCTGGTCTCAGTAGTCATCGCCCGGGAAAATTAAACAATTCAAAATGGCCACCATCGCCGAACTTTTCCCGGGCGATGACTACTAAGACCAGCATTTCTCGCAGGCATCAAGCCTTGTGACGTCATTATGCATAAGCTAGTCTATTCTTTCCAAACTTAAATCTGGGCACAAATACATTCAATATTCAACAATAATTATAAAATGTAATTTTTTTCTGTACCTATATAGTACTAAGAGTTTGGTACTCCCTACAGGTTCAGTTGTTTTCTTCGTACCCCCAAAATATCCTCCACACTCCCTAGTAAATACTTTATGACCGGTCCCTTACTTCAATATCGCGGTCCAGTTGCATCCCCGAGTTTCTCGTTGAATTGCATGGGATGAAATCCTAAGTAATTTTAGTAATTATAGCCTTTCTCACGCCGCCATTTTTGGGTGGCTTTTCAGCCGAAGTCTGTGAGATAAGTCCACATATATAAGAGCGACTTTTTATAATTTTTTGAACGAATGATGGTAAATTTGCTTTGTAAATGGTTAGTTTATTTTGAAAAATTGCTCTTCACATTGTTTTAATTGTCTGCATTGGTTAACGAAAATTAGACGCCACACAAAAATGGCGGATATTCGTCATCGTGAGAAAGGCTAATTGCATTATGCCGAGATAGACTGGGTTATTATCAGGTTCTTATTTAATATACAATACAATACAATAAAACTTTAACACGGTAAAATCTTCAGTACATTAATTAGATAGAAAAAATAATTACAACTGATTTCCAAGATTGCCGTGTGGGAGCTAGTCATTTTACAAATTATAGTAATAATTTAAGGAATTCTTAAATAGTGGTAACGAATAATGAAGCATTCGTATTTTGAGGCAGATTATTCCGTAATAAGGCTCTACTATATAACAAAGGCTTCGCTTTAAATAGTTAGTTCGTGGCTTGGGCAAATTGAGCTTTAATTTAGAGTTTCTTAAGTTGTACCATGCACTGCCGTGAACAGAGAAAAGATTTTGTAGGTAAGATGGTGCATCACCATTGGGTATTTTAAACATAATTCCAGCCTTAATCTTTTTGCGTCGTGAACAAAGATTGTCTAGGTGCAAATTATTTAAAAGAGAACTAGCGCTTATTTAATATACAACATATTTTTTAGCGATGACTGGCGTTAAATTGGCAAAAGCGTTCGGTTTCCTGCTCATGGTCGTCATTGCATGTTCCAAGCAAATTCCTGAAGAGCAACATTCAACCTATCCGGTCACGAATGAAGTTCATTTTACCACTAATCCACACGAATACCACGACGAAGATCTGGAAGTTAATGTGGGAAAGAGGGTGGTTGGTGTAAATAATCAACCGAACCCTTACAAAGGTGGTGGCACAACTGATAACAGGCAAGTGTGGTTTCATTTGAATCCCGATGCACAAATCGCCGACCGTAATCAGCTCTCACAAGGACAACGAATTGACCTACATAACTTCATTGGTAGTATTAAGATAGATAAGATTTTTGCTGAGAATGCGGGGCAATTGGACTCCTCAAGTAAAAAGTATTTCCGCCTTGATATGCAAGGGATGGTGAAAAAAAATAATCAATATCATCACAACCTGCAGGTGCAATTGAATGGGGTGAAACGTAGCAAAAAAGTACCGAGTACTACATACGCTATTGTGTTAGTTCCACAGAATGCCAATGGATTACTGACGGATCGCGTTGTTCGTAGGGCGTTTCAAGATAGTTCCAACCGCGACGCTGCGGTGACGCTTGAAATTAGAAATAAGTAGTCCAGGGCCGGGATAGAACAGAAAATATTGTGCTACATATCATAGCATTGTTGTAAACAACGCGCATGATAACTTCGGGAACAACACTGTTCCCGTGTAATATTAAAGAATATAATAAATATTGTAGCCTTGGAAGTTATGTGTCAGTACGGTACAGTTCGCATGTTCGTTCGTATAAAAAGCCATTCGCAAAACTCATTTCTCGTATTGTCTCCTTGAAATACCCATTCGTCACTGCCACCGCGTGGCCTCGTTCTGAATCACGGACAAGTTTGGTTCATGGTTCCCGTTTTCCTGGCGACATTCAAAATCAAAGAACATTATTTCGCTCTAACTGCTTTGAGGCAATGCCGAAGTAACCATATGGCGCAAGGCCACGTGCCCCGCGCTTTTGGGGGCCCGCACTTACTCTCTTCGATTAAAGTGAACCAAGGTTATGATTAACTTTTTGAATATAGGTTGAATGGTAATGGCAATGATATTCAAAGGCATTACCATCCAAGTTGAATGGTTATGCAGATAATTAATATTCAACGGCATAATTAACCATCCAAGTTGAATTACCATTCGTCCGCAAAAAATGATCGTGTTTTGATGTTCTTTGGAACAATATTGATTTGATAATCAGATAAATACGTTTGAAATAGTTGGACAACCGCAAGAGCCTATCGGAACTCGTTTTTTTTATGGAATTCGTGTGCTAATAACGTGTTTGCAACCGCCTTTAGCCGTGTTTACACTACGAGCCTGAGCCTGCATGGCCTTGGCCTAGCTTCGGACTAGATTTTTGTAGTGTAAACGCACTTTGACCTCGCCTAGGCCAGAAAATCTGGGCCACCTGTTCTGATGGGCCCAAATTTTCTGGCCTAGGCCAGGCTTTCGAAGTACGTTTACACTACAAAAATCTAGTCCGAAGCTAGGCCTAGTGGCGGCTTAGGCTCGCAGTGTAAACACGGCTTTTGTCTTTGATTGTTTAGTACATGACGATACAGACTATTCTTTTCAATTTTCGAAATAGAAACAGCTAAAGCCCTAGCTAAACAAAATTCATCGGTGTTTCGAATACGAATAATTGAATTCTTTTTAGCCAAATGTTTTTCTAGAATAATTTCACTTCGCTTATTACCCATACCGCCGTTAGCCATTTCAAAGTAAATTGACGATGACCACTATATCATTCAAACGAAATTTGTGATTAAACTGAATAACACGCTCAATTTCAGCTGGAACTGATACGCTCGGTTGCAAGTCGATGACAAGGCATGAAAGGAAGAGAAATGGGGTATTCAAGCTGAGGCGATCGCAAAAACAAAACGGATTTGATCGTGCGTGGGAATATCGTGCATGTGTGACAGTATTCAATAAACTTTCCAATATTTCGTGAAGGCGCGGTTGTGGTATTGTGAAAGTTCCAAATTGATATATACGTGTTCCTAAATTGAATACTACAATCCACAGCTGTCGAAAAAGAGCCTCTGATTACTCACCGCCAGTACTCTTGTCAGCGAATTCCTTCCATTTCATCACTGGACCAAATGACAGTGCATACATATCGGACACACACTGTAAAAACAGATTGGTTAAAATAACCAACTTGAATTGGTTGTCTCATATGGCTTGAACAGTTACAAGGCATTTTTTAATACCATGGACTGGTGGGACATTTGCCCCACTGGGCCCCTTACTCTGCCCCACTACTGAAGGAAAAAAATGGCCAATTTCCCCGAAGCCAGGGCCCTATGACCTGTGTTGAGCAAATGAGTTTGAAAAGAAGAAGTTTAAAAAATAAAATTTGTTGGCGAGCATACTTAAATTTATGTTGTGTTTGAATGTTTAGCATGCAATTTATTACAAATTTTATCATTAAAACTGTGTTTTGAGAAGCTGAGATTTTTTATTAAGATGAGTTCTCAGAATGCAAAAAATGCTATTTCAGAGACCCAAATTTTAAAAATTTCCTGGGGGGCATGCCCAGACCCCCCTAGCTAACTCGTGTCTGTGGTACTCGGCTCACACCCTCGGCGATCGCATACTATCTTGGGGAGAGGGCCAGAAAAAAATGGGCCCTTTGGCAGTTTTGCCCCACCACTGAAGAATCCTTAAAAAATGCCCTGAACAGTTATTATCCCTTCATTCTTTCTCGCGGGGTATTCTCCAGGAAATGTTTTGAGACGGCCTGTTAGACAACTTTCAGAAAATAACAAGCCCATCGCATTATCCTTAGCAGCTAGTTCGCCATGTGCTTACAAAAGACAGATGTTTCATACTTACGTTACATATAGATTTATATACCGAGGTTGGAGGCTTTATATCAGATACATACCCGAGATGCCGCAGGCCCCCGAGGGAATGTATCTGACATAAAGCCTCCATCCTCGGTATACAACTCTAATTAATTATCTAATAATTGCTTAATTGGGCGGTTTTCTTGGTTCTTCATTGGTATATACTGTACATCCAATACAATCTTAAAGCAAGGCAAGGGATTTGATATTTCCCCAGGGAAAACTATAGGGTTTGAATAAGAAATGGGTGCACATAGCAGATAATTATATATATTCAAGGTACATACCAGTTACATCCCCGGTATATTACCAAATATATACCTCAAACTATCATTCTTTTCCCTTCCAGAGTCTTTAGTGCAAAGTATCTTGGCATTGCTTGTACTAGCGTTCGCCATCGTAACTGTTGGCGTTTTTTTCTTGTTTTAAAAGTACTTCACGACTCGCTTCATTATCATCACTCAGGCCCGTTTCATACGCCGTACTTCACATGTGCCGAAACATTAAAGACAATAGGTAATGAGCTGAAATGCCTCATTACCTATTGTTTTTAATGTATTTGGCACATGTGAAGTAGTAGTACGGCGTATGAAACGGGCCTAACCTTTTCTTCTATCTCTGGTTTAGCCACTGAAATCACGCGAGAACCACATTCGAAAGCAGGGCCTTATTCTATGGCAGGGCGCTTATATATATAAGCGCCCTGTTCGAAAGCTTTAGAATCTTCAGTTTCATTGACAAGTCAGGCCTCTGGTATCTATTCAAACCATGTGTCAACCAACCGCCCAATTTGTGCTCACTTTCGAGTTTCGTGTTGCTCAGCCGTATATCTTTGATTCGTTCCATTTTTCAACGTCGTCGTCACTGATAACACTATATACGGCGAGTTTCGCAATTTTGATTGTTGGGTACCGTGACTTCACGAACTGATGTATTCTCTGCAACATGACATAATTCACTGCCAAAAAAATCGCGGAAGAAATTAAATCGCTAGTCTACTTCTAAATTCTCGGTCCTACTAAATACTGCCCGGAGCGCCCGGGGACGCCCGGGAGACAAGATATATAGTATAAATCAGTGAACGATCCTCTACGAGTCTCTATGAGGCATTAGATTAATGAAAAATAACATTAAAAGTGATTTTCAGCCAGCCTAGCAGGAAGTTGTGCGAAACATGAGATTATATTTATATTTATTATAAATGTAAAACTTTATTAAATGTAAAACTTGATAACTTTATTAAAGTGTCATGTCTTATAGCCAAAGATCAACTTTCACTTGCTGTCATTAAATTAAACTAAAGTTAAACAAGTCTTCATCACTCCAGAGCTCTTTCATGACTCAACTGATTTTCAATGCACCATGCATAAGACAATATAATCATAATAATAAATAATAATAAAATGGTTTATTATAAACACATTATTGCACCAACATGGTGAATTACAATAAGAAATTTGACTGAAATTTCCTCCATGCTTATGGACATTTCTCTGTTCGGCTATTATCAAATGTTTACATTTGCCAATATTTGGGCCAGACCTAGATAAACAAGACGCGTAGTAACAAGTGAATCGGTGCAAAGCGTATCAACGTGACAAGAAAGGACAAATGTAATGGCCTATTTTAAAAACATTACAATAAACGTTTGTTATAACCGCGCTCGAGTGTGAAGAGAGCATGCATTGAATAACAACACGAGAGAGCACTGCGAATAACGATTTGCTTGGTTTCTTGACTTGACTGTAAGTAAGAATGTAAGAATTCGAATGTTCTTGTAAATTCAAGAACAGCTATTATCTGTTTTTCAAGAGGCCGTTTAAACTAATATTTACAAAGTTTAATCTAAAATATAATATAAATTATCACACAGTTAAAGTATAAGAGAATATATACAAAATATTGTATGCACACATAAATATAACTAACAAATATTGTTGTTTTCTCTGAGAAATGTTTTGAATTTTCCCCAGTGGCGAAGCCAGCCTCGTGTGAGTGGTCATGCAAACGAGTGCCGAAGGCGTGAGACTTCTTAGGGGGGGGGGGGTCCGGGGGCATGCCCCGCCGGAAAATTTTTGAAACAGTAGACCCCAGAAACGCCATTTGCAGCAATCTGAGCATCAAATTTCAGAAAATAGCTTGATCTAATGACGGGAAAAGATGTGGATATTTTGGCATATTTCAGACAACAATAATGAAGACAATATAGTCATACTGGCAATTGTACATTTCTTTTCGATCAGAAAATATTACATGCATGTTCTGTATTATCATAGTCTGTATATAGACTACCAAATTTTTAATTGATTACTTTGATATGCTATCCCCTTGTAGTATTCCAATGTGAAGTCTGAAGAGTCGTTCACATTTCCAGAACTAGATAAATTTTATCCACATATACTAACGGAACATAATGACAAATAGCTGCTAATACAGTCCGTATAGGGGGTCTATTATAGTTTTGCGGTTATGCGGATTTAGCCATATTTTGAGGTCGGATTTCGGTTATATCCAGTTATTTTGTACGGTTTGTGGTTAACTGGAAATCGTGCGGAGACGGAAAATGTCGAAATTGACCCTCCGGATTCGTTACTGACCAAAATAAATGGCGGTTTTTGGATAGTTTTTGACATGCGGTTACGAGCTCATGGCAATAATTCAGTTCATGGCATTCATCTTCCAATCGCGCGTATGTGTTGTTCCACAGGGCCTCAAAATGACGAAATCAAATGGGCAAAGTGGCCGGGCTATTAGTAAAATCAGGAACACCGGAACACGGAACACCGTAACAGCATCTTTCTGGAATACGGAGCACCAGAACATCAAACTGATTCCGCTTAACTTGTTAAAAATTGGCGAGGGGAAAAAATTACCCGGGATTGTGAAATTATTGCAGGAAAAATTATTCCGTAAAAGTAAAACATGCTTTTTAATATTCTGACTTGCCGATTGCTACGAACTGAAATCAGTTTCAAAGTAATAAATATTTGCCCGAAAAGATGAAATCAAAGCAACTTGATTGTTTATCACACAAAACATAAGCAGCGATGGAAGGAAAACCTTTTCATAGCTATTTGAACTGCTAAGACTTCGTTTGATTTGCCAATTGCCAAATTTTATACTACCAAGTTCGCGGGAAACTTGTGAACGACTCCCTCTTCAATACTCCAATAGAAATGGCGACTATACGTACTGACCATTGGTATATTGCCTCATATTATGAAGTAAACAAATTTTGCACACGTAAGTATTTCCCATGAAAAAATCTCTATATACTATCCGTTATCCGGTTATCCAGTTATCCGGTTATCCGCTCCCCGGGTTTTCTACCCTGCCCACTACTGTAGTTACGTCTCTGTATGTCTCTACTCTGTGGTTGAGCGTGGACTTTCATCGACCTTCATCATGCTCGCATTGATTGTTCATATATTAAAATACATTTTATTAAAAGAAAATCGGCAAAATTCCCTTGTTCAAAGCCTGGGACATATATAGACGCAAACGAAAAGCAGTAGCAGCGAGTGGATACAATGAATTTGTTATTAGAGGTGAGTGATTTGCTTCTGTCTACTGTCAGATATTTGCATACCGCATGCTTATGAATATTAATAAATAATATTGATATTTATACGGAGTTTGTATGCAATGAAGTACTGATTTATCTAGCTAAACATTGCAAATATTTTCATCCTAGGTGAAGGGCATTTGACACAAGAGACTGTCCCCATGGCGGGGAAATTGACACGAGAATTGGGCAAAATGTCAAATCCTCCAGGTATGCCTGCCCCCCCCTCCCCTGGGGCTAAACATTGACAAGTGCATTACTATAAATAGTTCACACTAAAACTGGCAACTGCCCCCGGCTGATTATGGTGTACTAACTAGCTGTTATTAAAAGTGATCATGCCTTATGGTAATTTACATATATTAATAGGACAAAATGTTATTACTATCTGGCTTTCTTTCAAAATGCTTAGAAGATTGATAAAATTGGACGAACTTTAAAAGTGAACCACATATAACTTGATCTGTGTGCGTCTATCCGGCTGAAGGGGCCAAAACCCTGCGGGGGCAAAAATTGTGAAGTGCACTGGCTGGGAATTTCAGATGCTCATGTATAAAAAACAAAGCAGTGAATGATATAAATTCCTCAAAATATAACTCACATAAAAAAAACATGATTGAATACTTCTATAATATGTATAGTTTTATTCCTCTGCATTATCAAAATTTAATAAAATAGTGAATTAATATAATTTTATATAGTTAGTAGACTGAATATATCAGTGTGACATAATTTGCCATGTGTTTCCTCTCTGTATATCTTTTCTCTGTGTTTATACTCTACAGGTGGCAGTGCTTGTATCTCATTAATGCTTCCACTATGATAAAACAAAAATTTGAAAAAAGTTTGCAGGAAAATTTTATAGACTAACAGTCTCATACTGTCATTTCTGTAAAAGATCCTAATTTAAATGGCTATTAATTAAAATTATCAGTTGTATTACATCTCATTTATCTTGTGATTGTCCATATTTTCACTTTTTGGTTTTTTACTTAAGTAATATTTTCTTTCTTCGATGTTACTTCCATCACATTTCACAGAAAAAATTCGATCACTTTGACATGGAATTACATAATGTATCGTCTCTTTACAAAAACAACATGGCTACGTATAGACGATTTTTTAAACAATTTTATTTTTCTTACTCAAATTTAACCCTTCTCTCAACTTCAAATTACAGAACTCACAAACAAAATGCAAGAATATCGTTCTCAACGCATGCTGACCCAGTTGTGAGTAAATTGCATGGATATATTTAAATATTTTAGGTGCAAAATATGAACATTTGTCATACCCGGTATGCGTCAAATTTTAGGATAAGACATTCAGCGTTGAGTTGCGTGTAGAGTCCTATACAGCGATGTTCATAGCAGTGTAGCAGCTAAACAAGACACTAACTCTTAACCCTAACCCTTAACCAATCCAATTCCAATCTGTTTACAGGGGCTTAGCAGTGACGGTCATTCACAGCCACAGGTGAAAACCAGAGAGGAAAGAATGTTCCAAGGTTTACCAAAAAGAAAACTCATCGAAGGAGTGAAAGATATTGTGGTTGTTGCTTCTGGCAAGGGTGGGGTTGGCAAGTCAACTTGTGCTGGTTAGTATGGGCAGAGGAAATATCCCACTTGAACCACCATCATTATCACCATCATCACTGTTGCCACCACTGTCTTACAGGTATATTTTATTATATTTTATATTAAAGCACCACTGTCTTATATTTTAGTCAATCTGGCTTTAGGACTAGCAGCTATAAATAAGGTACAGTAAGTAATTATGTTATATATTAATTAATTACCTTTTTTACCATATATACATCCATCGACATGTTAATTACAGTATAGTACTGTATGTCTGACTTCCAGAGCAAAAGTGTTGGTCTACTGGATGCTGATATTTATGGACCATCAAATCCAAAAATGATGAACCTCTCGGGAAAACCAGAGCTTAATCAAGGTTGCATATAAAAAATTGTTTTGTAGAATGTACTGTATTAATACTCTTTCTATTGTTTGCTAAATGTTGTTTTTTGTTTTTAGACAACAAGATGGAACCTTTGAAAGATTATGGAATTTCATGGTGAGACACATACTGTATGTTAGCTCTATTAATCATGCTGTATTCTGTAAGTTTTTTTGTAAGCCAATCATGTTCATTTCTCATGACCAATGTCAAAGCATTGATTAATTTTGTTCGCTTTTCATGTTTAGCATGTCAATGGGATTTTTAGTTGATGAAAAATCACCAATAGTTTGGCGAGGATTAATGGTGATGTCTGCCCCGGAGAAATTACCGAGACAGGTGAACTGGGGGACATTGGATGTCCCTATTGTGGATATGCCTCCTGGAACAGGGGATACACAGCTCTCTATATCCCAAACTGTTCCTCTGTCAGGTACATGTGATGGCAATGTCCTCACTAAATGGGTTGACTCTAATTCATCTGTGGGATGTTTCACATTTCTTTTTACTTCAGGTGCTATCATTGTTACAACACCTCAAGACATTGCTCTTCTGGATGCACAAAAGGGTGCCGAGATGTTCCAAAAGGTCCATGTCCCTGTACGTAACACCATGCAAGTGATCAAATGTGAAACTGAACCTCTAGGAGTTTAGAAGTGATAGAGCTATCCAGTATATAAATAGTATAAATAAAGTTAGTTTGGTTTGCATCTTTTACTTATAGTTTTCTTTGAGTTTTGACCTCTAGGGAGAACAGTTTAGAACTGGTAGGAAAATCTGCTACTAATAAAGTTAGTCTGGCAATATTGCTTTTCTTGTCCAGGTCCTGGGTGTTATTGAGAACATGAGTCACTATGTCTGTCCTAAATGCAACCATAAAGAATTCATATTTGGTGAAAATGGCGAAATAACTATAGCTGAAAATATGAACTTAGAAATACTAGGTATAATAATAATAATAATATAATAATAATAAAATGCTAAACTAATACTCTCTTTAACTAATACTCTCTTTACAACAACAATGCTTTCTATATCATTGTATTATCTCATTAAATTCATATACAGGGTGTATCAAAAAATTGTACACCCTTTCAAATTCAAATTAGCCACAACCTTTCAAATATTCGTTGACGTTGTTAAACATTTTTCTTTGAGTTGTGTATTTGTTCATACAAATAGAAGTTATCCTAAATTCCTATGTGCAGAAGACCTTGTGTTTTCACGCATTCATTAATTCGAATTGTACGTCGGCTGAATATATGTTGAGTTGTGCAAATCACTCCTAAAAAGTGTTTGTGACTTTTAAATTTTTTTGTGATTTTTTTATTTTTCAATGATTTTTTTTAAATTTCTTTAAAACATTTTTTCTCCATTCTCTTTTAAAATCACTCCTAAAAAGTGTACGGTATGGCATGGAGATAGAAAAATCATGTGAGATTTTTTTTGTGATTTTTAACATTTTTTTGTTAATTTTTTATTTTGATTTTTTGTGCTCTTTTAATTGAGGGTGTACAAATACTTAACAGTTAGATTGACTAACCGTATTAAAAATTAGTTCGTTTCAGTTGGCTATTTACATGAACTACAATTAATAAAATCATTTTTAAATCTATTGGTCTTAAAATTAGGACTAAACATTCTTCTTCCTCGCAGACATATTTCTGACGAGTTCACTGGAGGCAATAAGTCATGCAGATATATATACAGACATATATAAACTACTAAATTTAATTTCATATTAACTTATATATCGTGCGTATATAGGTTATAAGACACTAATGATGATTATAAAGACATAACGTATCTCATATAAGGGAGAGATAAGGAGCGCAAAAAGGCCCCCGTTAATTGGTCTTGGTGGCCGGAGTATTATTATACTGGTAGCATAAAATGATTAAATCGTTTATTGTTGTGTGCGAAGTTCTCAGACTTTACTGAATCATTTTAAACAGGGCTGAAACAATTTCTATAACCATGTACAGATACAAAGAAAACACAAGACTTAAACTGTCACATATGTACAGATATAAAGAATTTAAAGTGCGACTAACCCCAAATATAATATAATTTTTGGAATGTGTAATACTTGGGTCATTCTGAGGAGAAAAATTGTATGTATCTTTATAGTAAAAAACCTCATCTTGATCAACTTTTTCACTGTCCAAGTTCCAGATATATAGATGTCAGATATATAGATGATGATATATAGATATATAGAAACTTTGACAGTGAAAAAGTTGATCAAGATAGGATTTTTTATCATAAAGATATATTACATTTCTTCTTCGAATGACCCAAATATTACACATACCAAAAATCATATTAGGGTTATATAGTCGCACTTTAAGAAAATACAAAACTTTATTTTGTTTGCTTACCCTGGTTTCAACTTGATTCTATGGAAATAATAATCTTTTTGGACGACGGGCAAATCACTCCTAAAAAGTGTACGAGATCATGTGATTTTTTTGTGAAGTCATGTGACTTTTTGGTGATTTATCACACTGTAAGCAAAGTTAGTAAAGTCACAGTTGAGAATCCAACCCGCAACCATGAAAGTGTTACTTACAGTAATAAGTACAGTATTTTTGTAGATGGAAATTCAGAGTGTGGAAATTTTTATTCATTTATTAGACCTGACCAGGAACAGTTGCGAAAAATGCACCTATTGGACCACTGGCAGGAATCAAACTGGTCGCCCTGCGATTTCGGTGCAGCGCTCTAACCAACTGAGCTACAGAGGCCAGTTGTCGAGCTCTTACCGTAAGTTCATGTACTATTTAGAATATGAGCAGCTGATCTTTATGTACTATTTACAATGGCGAGCGTGAGCCATTGTTAAATGCCCATAAGATCAGTTGCGAATATTTTAACGTACTTGTAAAATGAATTTATTTGTTTACTTTATTAGTATTCTCTGCCCATGGGGACAATCTCACGCTTCATTAGCATGCTATTAAAACTTAAATTAGTATTCTTAACTTTCATAAACATCCATGCTTCTCAATTAGTATTGTTAACTTTCATAAACCATCCCTCTAACACGACTTTCTGATCTTTAATGCGGTTTACAAGTTGCACATGTGACCTAAATACCGCATCGTGATTTGTTTGTGGCCTTATTAATTATTCATGATTTTACAAGTGTACAAGTTTTACTAGGGTACTGCGAATGTAAGGTGCATGTATAAGGTATCTTAGGCCTGTTTTATACGTCGAATTTTGGTCGCGTCGAATGCAATTAAGACAATAGATAATGAGATGATAAACCTCATTAACCTTCATCTATTATTGTTCGCGACGTATAAAACAGGCCTTATTCGATGGACCTATATTACATAGCGCTTTAATTAACGTGAGTCTTTTTACTGCAGTCCATGGCAGGTGGTCGGATTGGGGAAACTGGACTGTGTGTTCTGTGACATGCGGCAAAGGTCGTCAACTACGATTCCGCAGTTGCACTAATCCCAAGCCTCCGTTTGGTGGACGAGACTGCAAGGGCGCTAGAGAGGGCAAACAGGACTGTATGGATACTCCACATTTTCCAAGTATGTAAATATGATCATAGATTAGAATTGGCTGTCACGCAACCTTGGTTAGCTGTTCTTAATATTGCTTTCCCAACACTATCATGTATGATGTATTCTATCTAAATTAAAACATAGTTGGAAAACTCAAACTTTTATTTTATTAGGCTACATTTACACTATACACCGGATAGGTTTTTGCTTTGTTTATGAAACGTTACGGCCCCAAGTGTAAACAGGCTTCCGCCCTAGCAAAACTAGTAAAGTTTAGTAAACAATAAGCTGACCTAGACAACAATTTTATTGCTGTCATGCAGAGATCGATACTCTACTTAACCCGATTATTTTTAACAGCGAATAACAGGTAACAATCTCTAAGATCATATAGCTAAATTATATAGCTTACGTTTTCTACAGAAGATATGCATGCAGTACAGACAATTGTGCAAGACACAAATGCCACAAAAGACCAACAAATATCTAGTTGATTACTGCGAGAGCGTGATGTGCCGGCTAAGCGATCTAACCTTTGCATGGTCAGCTTCTTTCAGCTTTTTCTCGCCTATTACTTCAACATTTTAATTGTTCCACCCAGCCAGGATCCCGGTTGTTGCTTCCTGAGTTGCTTGCTGAATTGCATGGGATGGAAATCCTATCTGTATAATTAGCCTTTCTCACGCCACCATTTTTGGGTGACATTTCAGCCGAAGTTTGCAAGAGAAGTCCACATAACAGTGACTTTTTATATATTTTTTTGACGAATGATGGTAAATTTGCTTTGGAAATGGTTAGTTTATTCTGAAAAATTGCTTTTCACATTGTTTTAATTGTCTGCATTGGTTAAGGAGAATTAGACGCCACCCAAAAATGGCGCCGGATATTCGTCATCGTGAGAAAGGCTAATTGCATTATGCCGAGATGGATTGGGGGTTTTATAAGGTACTTATTTAACATACAACATTTTTTAGCAATGACTGGGGTTAAATTGGCAATAGCGTTCGGTTTCCTGCTCATGGTCGTCATTGTATGCTCCAAGCATACTCCTTCAGAGCAACATTCAACCTATCCGGCGACGGATGAAGCTCAGTTTACCAGTCACGAATACCACGACGAAGACCTGAATGTAGGAGAGAGGCTGATCCGTGCTGTAACGGCGGCTGACTTACCGCTACATTACCCAGGTGGCACCACAAATGACAACAAGAAGGTGATGTTTCACTTGAATCCCAAAGCAAAAATCGCCGACCGTAATCTGCTCCCAAAAAACCCAAGAAGAAACGAGCTGGATGACTTCACCATGAGTATTAGTGCACAGCAGATTTTTGTACAGAATGCGGGGAAATTGAGCGACTCACCTAACAAATTGTTCCGCCTTGACATGCAAGGGATGGTGGAAAATGAGCATGGTCAACATCACAATCTGCAGGTTCAAATGAATAGGGTGAAACGTAGCAAGAAAGTTGTGAGTACTACATATGCCAATGTATTAGTTCCACAGAATGCCGATGGGTTCCTGACCGATCAAGTTGTTCGTGAGGCCTTTAGCGATAGTTCCAAAAGGAGGGCTGCGGTGACGCTTGAGGTAGTCCAGGAATAGAACAGAAAATATTATTGTGCTACATATCATAACATTGTTGTAAACAACGCGCATAATAACTTCGGGAACAACACTGTTCTCGTGTAATATTAAAGAATATAATACATATCGTAGCCTTGAAAGTTATAGAGAGTTTAAGTTCGACTTCCGATACCAATACCGATACTAACAACATGTCACGCGCATGCTCTCTGCTTGCAAGAAGCACGAGGACAAGTGTATTGGAAGTCACCACTACCGAAGTCGGCCTTGTATTGGAAGATAAACTCATATAAATCGGATATTTCATAATTTTTACGATAAACATGTAAACTATTTGTTTATTAGCATCACCCGAGTCATATGTTTCAGTCGGAATTTTAGCTCAGCTGCCGTTTAGTATACCGCACATTTTCGGTGACGATTAATGTGTTCTAACAAATTCCCGGTACCAAAATGAGAACAGAAGTGAAAACATCGGTATTGGTATTGGAAGTCGAACTTAAACTCTCTTATGTGTCAATACGGTACAGTTCGCATGTTTGGTTGTAAAGAGCTATTCGCAAAACTCATTTCTCGTATTGTCTCCTTGAAATACCCATTCGTCCGGAAAAAATATATGATCATGTTTTGATGTTCTTTTGAAAAGACATTGATTTGATAATCAGATGAATACGTTTGAGGTAGTTGGACTTCGTCTAAACCGCAAGAGCCTATCGGAACTCGGGTTTTTGATGTAATTCGTGTGCCAATAACGTGTTTGCTCTGATGGTTTAGTACATGACGATACCGACTATCCTTTTCAGAAACAACTCGATGAAAAGGCATGATAGGACGAGAAATGGGTTATTCAAGCTGAAGCGATCACAAAACAAAACGGACTTGGTCGCGCATGGGGATATCTTCTGTGACAGTATTCAATAAACTTTTCAATATTTCGTGAAGGCGCGGTTGTGGTATTGAGAAAGTTCCAAATGTTCATACGTGTTCGTAAATTGAATAGCACAATACACACTTGTCGAAAACGAGCATCTGATAACTCACCGCCAGTACTCTTGTCAGCGGACTCCTTCCATTTCATCACTGGACCAAATGACAGTGCATACATACCGGACACACACTGTAAAAACAGATTGGTTAAAATAACCAGCTTAAATTGGTTGTCTCATATGGCTTGAACAGTTATTATTCCTTCATTCTTTCTCGCGGGGGTATTCTCAGAGAAGAAACGTTTTGAGACGGCCTGTTAGGGCCTGTTCATATGGGCAGAAGTTATCCCGGTTAGCGAGAAAACTTTTCGACAAGTTTACGAGCGAGATCTCGCCTTGTTACGAAAATAATTTGAACCCAATTGATCAAAGTCAACTAAAGCCTGCAGCACACGAGAGCTATCTGCTGAGCCAAAAGTTACTCGTGTCTGCTAGCTCAGCCGATAGCTCACCGATCAAACATGTTTGATACGTGAGAAAAGGTTGCATGAGGGAAAAAACTCAGTAAAATGTACCCGCACACGGTGAGCTATTGGCTGAGCTGACAGGCACGAGTAACTTTTTGCTCAGCAGATAGCTCTCGTGTGCTGCAGGCTTAAAGCAAATTATTTGCTGATGATACAAACCTTTCCTGTGAAGGGCCAAGTCCTCATTGAAAATGTTCACAGGTAACTAACAGCTAATAAACTTTTCTTAAATATGAAAAAAATGAGTTCAAGCATAATAGGATCAAGACATCGCCTAACATCAATTGAAAATACCCCAGTATACTAATATGAAGGGGAAGCAACATCAAACGCGTTTTTGAAAAAAGGTCACTTGACAACTGAAGTGGAACAAATATAATGATGCATGCATAACCATAGCCTATCGAAGGGAAGATGGCTGTGAAACTCATTAGAATAACAATATAACTCATTATGATGTTAATCAACGTTTATTCATAAGTCTGGTCGTTTCAACGTCACGTGCGTATTGCATTTTTACCAAATCCACCAATAGCAAATTCCAGTTTTCCTATTGTTCGAGTCACGGATAGGTGACTTTCCTAAAACATTGCTATTGGTTAGTTGGGCAAGAATACAATACACACGTGACGGTGAAGGACCAGATTTATGAACAAACGTTGACCAACATAGATAATGACTTATATTGTTATTCTAATGAGTTTCACAGCCATCTTCCCTTCGATAGGCTATGGCATAACGTAAAGTAATTTCAAGATCGCGCCCTTTTGTTCCTAGCGAAACTTTAAAGATGCTGTAAAGTCCGTAATGTAAACAAACGCTTTGTTTACATTTTGAACTCAGTCCTACAGTTGTAAAATATTATTAGCTATATATTATACTGAATTTTTAACACTCTTCTGGTTCACTATGCTTGTAAATTAACACAGACTAGAGATTCAATTCAAGAAAGTTCGGAAGGTGCGAAATATACATTCCAATGGTCGGGTCCCGACCATTGGAATACAGGCCTGCGCAGAACGGACTTCACAGCATCTTTAATAAAAATGTACAATGCCTTGGTGTGGCCACACTTCAATTATTGTTCAACAATCTGGAACGATGGGTTTTGATTGATAATTGATAAACTAATTAAATTACAAAAGAGAGCTGTGCGTGTGATAACCAAGGACACGTACGATGTTCGTTCCACACAAACACTAAATAATCTTAATTGGCTTCCAATTGCGGGATTTAAAAAAACAAACGAGAAGTAATAATGACATTCAAAGCATCAACTGGTCAATTGCAGCACTTCAATATCTTGTAGAGCTGTTTACAGGAAGCCAAAATAACAATTACAATCTAACAAGTAATCAAACTAAATTGGCGTTCCCCAAACCTAAGATAAATTTCCTCAAAGAGCTGAAGTGAAATCATCGAAAATTACAATAAACTACCAATCTTGTCGTTTGAACGGCTAATCAGCTAAGTATAAAATTGACGCCAGTAATAGTGATACATTGTAAATAGTGTTTATTTATTTGTTTTGTATTTCATAGCTTAGTACATACACGGCCCTATGGAAACTGTATTAAAATACTTATCCACTGAATTAGGTTACCGTATGTAAAGAGCTTTAATTAAAGAATAAAGATCCAAGTTTAAAGATTAAAGTTTAAAGATTAAGGATTACCAGTGTTTCCACAGCGAACACCAGCGTCTTCACTGTGACGACAGTTGTGATTTCCCCATCTCGAATGTCTGCAGGAAAATAGCGCTGACTCATGACCTCCACATTGAACATCGTCAAGCCAAATCCGTCCACTTCCATCGAGAACATTATCATGACCTTGGTAAGCGGCCAAGGCATCTTGAAAACCAAGTTGTCTGCAGACAACACGAGCATCGTTTATGTCCCAATTGTCATCACAGACTGTTCCCCATGTACCGTTATAATAAACCTCTACCCGTCCTGCATTGTGAGAACCACCCACAAGTCGTACGTCTAAAATTGAACACTAATTTATTAAGGACATATTTTCTAGTTACACGTAGTTGCGTTATTAATATACAGGACTGTACTCTGAGACTGAGTGTTAAAAAAGTTAGTAAAATAAACTGAAAAAACCGACATTAGAAATGGGTGTAAACCATAGACATCTAGGCAGATGAGTGAATTAATTGATTTTATTAGATTTATTTTTAATTCTAAATCTTATTTTTATTTCTAAATTAGATTTATTTAGTTTGCACAGGCAAAAGTGACACAAATCACAACAATAAGCTAGTACCGACTTTCTAACCTGTAGAATTACAGTAAGATTCATCACTTCCATCACCACAGTCATAACCACCGTTGCACAACCAAGATCCATCAATACATTGACCATTTGTACAGCGGAATTGCCAGGACTCACAATGCCTTGATGCATTCGTTGGTTGCGATGTCGGCCATGGCGTTGTCATGTTCCGTCCTAAGGAAGAACCACGATTCTTATTAGTAGTGAACATATTCTTCCATGAGACAAATTGGAAATACAAAACCCCGAGGGACTAACAACGAAACTGATGAATTACCACAGACAACCCAGTCTTCATCACTTCCATCAGTGCAGTCACAACCACCGTCGCACAACCTTGATCGATCAATACATTGACCATTTCAACAGCGGAATTCCCAATACTCGCAATACCTTGATGTAGTCGTTGGTTGTGATGTCGGCCCTGGCGTTGTCATGTTCCGTCCTAAAACAAGAACCACAATTGTCGTAGTAGTGAATATGTTAATGTCATTTTTCAAATTTATTCTCACCTCCAGTGACGTTACAGCGAACACCAGCATCTTCACTGTGACCACAGTTGTGAGTTTCCCAGCCAGAATGTCTGCATGAAAATAGCGCTGACTCATGACCTCTACAATAAACATCGTCAAGCCATATTCGTCCAGTTCCATCGGGAACATTACGACCTTGGTAAGCGGCCTCTGCATCTTGAAAACCAAGCTGTCTGCAGACAACACGAGCATCTCTGATGTCCCAGTTGTCATCACAAACTGTTCCCCATTGACCCTTGTAGTAAACTTCTACCCGTCCTTCATTGTGAGAACCACCAACAAGTCGTACTTCTAAAACTGAATATTTATTGAACAAACTGTACAGTACGTAAGCACAAGTGTATGTATAGCAGAATTATAAAGGAAATAATTCATTATCACACCTAGTTGCGTTATGAATATGCAGGACTTTGGTCTGGGACTGAGTGTTAAACAATTAGTAAAATAAACTGAATGAAACCGACATTAAAACAGGTGTGAACCATAGACATCTAGGCAGATGAGTGAATGAATTAATTTTGCTTGTTTTTAGATCACAACAATAAACTAGTAAAATGGTACCGACATGCTAACCTGCAGAATTACACAAAGATTCATCACTTCTATCAGCACAGTTATAAGCACCGTCGCACTCCCAAGATCGATCAATACATTGACCATTTGTACAGCGGAACTGCCAGGACTCACAATGCCTTGATGCATTCGTCGGTTGCCATGTCGGCGATGGCGTCGTCGTGTTCCGTCCTAAAAAAGAACAACGATTGTCATAGGAGTGAATATTCGACCATCCCAAAAACAAATTACAATACTTACAATACAATGCTCTGAGAGACTAAAAACAAATCAATTGAATTACCACAGACAACCCAGTCTTCATCACTTCTATCAGCACAGTTGGAAACACCGTCGCACGTCCAAGATCGATGAATACATTGACCATTTCTACAGCGAAATTGCCAAGACTGGCAATGCCTTGATGCAGTCGTTGGTTGCAATGCTGGCCGTGGCGTTGTCATGTTCCGTCCTGGAAAAGGACCACAATTGTGATGGTAGTGAATATGTTAATGTCATTTTTCAAATTTATTCTCACATCCAGTGCCGTTATGGCGAACACCAGCGTCTTCATTGTGACCACAGTTGTGAGTTCCCCATCCCGAATGTCTGCATGAAAATAGCGCTGACTCATAACCTCTACAATAAACATCGTCAAGCCATATTTGTCCAGTTTCATCGGGAACATTACGACCTTGGTAAGCTGCCTCTGCATCTTGAAAACCCAGCTGTCTGCAGACAACACGAGCAATGTTTATGCCCGAGTTGTCATCACAAACTGTTCCCCCATTGACCCTTATAGTAAACTTCTACCCGTCCTTCATTGTGAGAACCACCAACAACTCGTACGTCTAAAATGACAAATTTTAATGCATTATACATTTTGAACAAATTGCTCGGGCTTGAAAATCCATGTTTCTTTCGCGCAAAGTGAAATAAATCAGGATAATAAACTCCAGGAAGGATTAAAAACTAACCTGTCGAAGTACAGTTATCTTCGTCACTACCATCATAACAATGATGTCTACTATCACAAACAAAGGATCGAACAATACATTCACCATTTCTGCATCGGAACTGCCGGTAACTGTCACAATACTGTATTGATGCAGTGACTATCGGAGATTGTTCTGTAAAAGGAATCATGCATGTCTAAAGCCAAGCTATCTCAGTAAACGAGATATCCTGACAAGTGAGATGAATTCTGGTTGGGGTTTGTACGAGAAAATCTCATTCTTCGTCCAGAGACAGATTGACAAGAACCAGGCAGCCCAACCTGGGTCAGGATGCTGCTAGAATTGAACGAACTGAAGCAGAGTGCTTTATACAATATATTAGTAGGATGATCGAAGGTCATTAGCAACCAGTTGGACGACGACGAAAAGACAACGCCTAGCAATTGAATGAAGTTCATCAAAATATCACACAAGGAACAAATTAGAAGTCTTGACACCATACTTACCTGTTGCCGATGGCTGAATTTCTGCGCTGGTTTGACTTAAAACATATCAATAATTTAATTTATATTCAGGAGGAAACCTAAACATAACTAACTTTATTTATACTGGATAGCTCCATCAGTTCTAAACTGGTCTCTGTAGAGGTCCAGTAAGGATCATCTCTTATTGATCCATTGTAATTATTACAGGAGGAAACCTAAACATAAGTAACTCTATTTATACTGGATAGCTCTATCTATAATATAATGACCTTTATTTGTACCCTTTACAACAACAAAAATATAAACATTTTACACAATTAATGATTAAATAAAATGGGTACTAGCCACTTAAAATAACCATAAGGCTAGAGACCAAGCAGCTAATAAATATTGATATGAATATAAATTATCAGTAGGTCGTAACACATATATAGTAGAAAAACAAACACACAGACGAATACATACACACACACCTAGACAAGGCTATTAATATAAATCTTACATAGGTAGAATTTAATATAAATGATTAATCTTATTTCTATAAAATTTAAATCTATCAAAATAAAATTGGTATTTTGTTTTAAGATATTTTTTATAAAATTTATTTTTTATTTGGATAAAGGTTCTTATACCATGTGTTATCCAAGGTTTCAATTGCACTTTCTTTTCTTTCTTAGATAGTTCTTTAATAGGAATATGTTTATCTACTATATCAGATATTTTAATATAGAAACAATCAAAAAATGTTGAGGGATTGGAGACATTAGATGCATTTGAAAAAAGATCTTCCCAGTCTACTCTCTGAACTTCTTGTATTAGAGCACTTTGATCCAATTTAGAGTAGTCTCTATTATATATTTTTACATTATCAGGCAATGAAGAAAACTTATTAATGATTAAAAAGTTAGCCATATGATCAGATATATCATTTATAATATTTCCACTTATGGCAAAATGATCAAGGGAGTTAAAAAATATGTTGTCAGTAAGAGTAGCAGAATGGTCAGTTATTCTAGTAGGTTGCAAGATGAGAGGCTGAAAAAAATGAGTTCCAACGATGTTCATAAATTCATCTGTTTCAGAATGTGATCCAAATTTTAATAAATCTATGTTAAAATCTCCAGAAATCATACAATATTTTCCCTCTCTATTGACTTTCTGTAAAACGGAATTAATGTACTGGAAGAACAAATTAAGATTTCCTTTAGGATGTCGATAAATAACTCCACACAGCAGGTTACGCTGAATGTCATCCTGTACCTCAATCCATAATGCTTCAAAATATTTATCAGATATAGATAAATCCTCACGTTTAATATATTTCAAATTATCTTTTATAAAGAATCCAACACCACCTGCATTAGAATGACTTGGCTGAGATACAAAGTGATAACTTGGTATTTGTAAATTAGATATAGGATCTTTATTTATCTGCTGCTTAGTCTCTGAAAGACCAATTAATGAGAATGGAAAGTATAATTCAGAAAGCATATTGACTAGACTGTCATGATTTGCAGATAGACTCCTAACATTGCAATGGATAGCTGAAAAAGAATCATAACTCTGAAAACTATCCACTATATTCTGATTACTATGAAATTCATGGAGTCATAATAATTAAAATTAATGTCACTAGGCATATGCAAATCAATATCTGAGGTAGTTAAATGGTGAATATTTGTGGTTGCTGAATTTATATCTAGACGAGGTAATAGATTATAATCTACAAAATCTAGTATGTCTGAAGGACTAGTACTTTGGTTACAAGTACATTTGCTACAACTAGTCATCATTGGCAATAAAACATTTAGATCAATAGTCTATAGTACTTAGCTTATTTGATAGAGTCTTTCATTATTTGATTCGGTCCAAATCTTTCAAGCTTCTTATCCGAACAACCGGGCTAGTCTCTGCCTTTCTAATAAAGATATTTCCTGATGATGTCCAAATAAACTTGTATCCCTTTTCTCGTTTAGCCCCATATGCTTTATGAAACAGATCCTTGTTCTTTCCAGTAAGACTTTCCACAACAAAGACCTTGTTATCTGACTCATATCCAAGGACTTTGGCTGTTACATTGTCATTATATAGCTTTTTCCGCGCTTTGTAGAAATTTTCCTTGGTCACACGTCTGGCGAATTTGACAATAATCGGGGGTGGTTGGAGTTTATCTCCCCGATATTGTCTTAAGTCGATGGCTTATAGAGATATCCTTCTCCTCGATTTCAACACCCACGGTAGCAGCTACCTTCATCACAATTCTATCTGTATTTTCTTCACCTGATCGTAGCCCACGTTTCAATGTAACTCCTCTAATTTCCACGCAATCTCTTCTCGAATACTGTTCTAAGTCATTGCATACATCTTTTAGATCATTTAACTCCTTCGTTGTCTGTTTCAGTTGCAAAGCAAGTGCTTGGTTTTCATTACAAAGATCCTTTTGCTTCGCTTCGTTCTAAACTGTTCTCCCTAGAGGTCGAGTAGGGATCATCTCTTGTTGATCTAGTGTTACTACAGGAGGGAACGTAAGCTAAACTAACTTTGTTTATACAGGTTAGCTCTATCAGTTCTAAACTGTTCGTAGCAGTGGGTGCCTACATTACTTTGAATTTGTACTCGAGTAAAAGTAATTAACAATAAAACGACTTGAACAAGAGTAAAAAGCACTGGAAGCAAAACGTACTTAACTAAAAAGTACAAAGTATCCTTAAAAAATACTTGAAGTACAAAGTAAAAGTACTATTGTCTGTAGCCCGTAGAAGGGGGGGGGGGAGGGACTTCTCCAATGATTGACATACAAAAGACACAAAACGGCAGCACACGCATAATATGCGTGCACCGAATATACAATATTTCACGGCATGGTCTACTTTCCAGTCCCCGTTGAAGATATAAGAAATCCATTAAGTAAATGAATGCTTATAAGTATAAATCACAAACGAGAGATCACAGACGCATGTAGAGGTCGTATTACCTATCCCGAAATTAAAATAACGAAGTAAAACGTTACTTCTTAAAACGACTTCATTCCAAGTAAAAGTACTCCAGAAAAAGTTTACTTGTTACATGCTCACTTCTCAAAAATAGCACTCAAGTACAGTAACGAAGTACATTTACTTCGTTACTTGACACCACTGGATCGTAGGCCTGTTTTATACGTAGAATTTTGGTCGCGTCGAATGCAATTAAGACAATATAGATATACCATATATTCAGCGAGTGCTTGAGGGGTTTGGACTGCATTTAAGGCACGGTCGAGAACCGTCGATTGATGTCAGGGCGCTATAAAACACGGGAGTGGAAACGCGCTGATATCGCGCTGATCCACGTGTGATGCGCCAGAGAACTGGCACTAGCGCGCGTTTTGAGAGAAAAGCAAAAAGAAAAGCGAAGTCCTGACGGAAAAAAGATTGTTGTGCGACTTTGAAAGCCAGGGCAAAAATATAGGTAAGACCTTTTGAATGTGAGATTTCTTTTATTAATTTTTAAAAGGAGCACTATCTTATGCTATTAAGAAACTTTTTACGAAAGTAGCATCCAACGTATTTGAGAAAATAAGTTAGTTTTTAAGTTAGTAAGTTAGTAAAGTTATGGAAAATCGATTTTTTATATTAAAACGAAGACCGGCGTTTTTGTTAAAACACAACTTTTCGGCTTGGTTGTGCCATGGTCTCACTCGGAAGGACAAGGTCAATGTAGACATGTTTGGCCATGAAACTCAAACCGCAGAAAAAATATTTTTATTTACATCTTTTTTCCAGGTGAAAAACTTTGCCACAGTTGTTGTTAAAGTTATTTAAAATCGATTTTTCTTAAAAAGAAGACCGGCTATTTTGTTAAAACATGATTTTTTTACTGGCAATGGCAGCGATTTTTACTCATGAAACACGAAGTGCGGAAAAAATGTTTCGACTTGTATCTTTTTCAGTTCCCTATGACGTTAAAAGATAGCCCCAAGTTATAGACTCACAGGAAAAATCATATTTTTAGAAAAAATATCCGTTTCAACCACTTTATGTCTTTAAAAGTGTACTGACCTTTTCAGGCTGTTCTAGACAAACCACATTTTCTTTACAGTATTCCCTATTGACTGTAGCATATACTTTAAGTACATAAACCTCTCATTCCATATAGTTCATCCCAGAGGAAAATCGTTTTGCTGTCCATTTGCCGATGAGTTTCAACTAGTCCATGTTTCTTATTTTAAATTAACTCTTGCCGTGTCTTTCTTTTCAAATGTTGATATTCGAATGAGAATTTCCAATATTCGAAAACCTACGGGGGGAGGGTCCGCGCATCACACATAGACCAGGTGCGTCGTTGCCGTTTCCGCGCCCGTAGTTTTAAGAGATAACTACTTCATGAGAAGCATATTGGTGTCTATCAATATAAAATTTATGCAACAACACTACAACTGAGAATAGTTTATTAACATTATTATGGTGAGACACTTCATTGGAATAACATAAAGTACATTACTGTACTTCTCCATCATAAATAAGAATGCATCTATTTCTTTCAGTTAACAAACATAATAACATGAATTTGCTCTATAAATGTTCATAAACCTCCACGAATGATGGAGAAGTACAGCAATATATGTACTTTATGTTATTCCAGTAAAATGTCTCACCATAATAATGTTTAAAATAAATTA